TACAAGCCATGCTGAAGGTTTACTTGGCAACACTGTGGGAGTCCCAGGATTTCCCAGTTAATGAGAGTTACAACTAATACATTGGTTGTTTTGTTTCTTTCGTTGTTCTATAATATTTTAATTTTAGCGGAAATATCGTGCAATAAGGATGCTTATAGCAGAGCGGAGTCGATCGATGGCGGTTAAGTCTGATGGACGTGTTTAATACGGCTCCGAGTATTTTGTAAAAATAAGGGTGTTATACGTTGTGATATAAGCGGAGTGGTGAGTGCAAAACAGCCAGAGATTTGAAATAAATAATATCAGTTTAAGGTTATGTAGACGAAAGACGGGATGAAAAAAAAGAGATCCGGGGCGGCCACCGAAAAAGCTCACTGATGGTAATAAAGGAAACTTATTGAAGTTTATCAACAACGACAGTAGAGAGAGCCAAATAGTACTTAGTGCGGACATATTGGCTGATAAAAACATTGGGTGTGCTTTGAGAAAAAGAGGTGAGAGTGAAGATGAGGACTGGCTGGAAGGTCTAGATTTAAACAAAGATAAGGTGAACGGCGAAGTAGAAGAAATTATCAACTATGAAAAAGGGAATGATTCAAGTGAAACAGAAATAGTATAAGGTGAGCTGTTATCAGTAAAAAAAGGCATTAGTAAGCTGCATAAAGTAGTGTTAGAGATGAAGAAAGAGGTAAAAGTAGAGGAAAAAAGGTGTTTAGTAAAAGAAAATAAAAAGCTACGAGAAATGTTGCGTTACCTACAAGAAAGGTAAAATGAAGAATTCAACTGAACTCCAGGGAAGCACGGAGCAGCCGGAAAGGGAACTACAAAGTGGCAATAAAAGGCGTAACCAATATAGTAAACAATAAAACAAAGCTTTAAAGGCAATATTAGTAATGATGGGTGGGTAAGACATTTTAGGACTCTTTTAAATAGGAGTGAGGAGGAAAATGGAATTGGGGCTGATGCTGTGGAGTTGAATGAAACTCTAAATGTGAAAATGATACATTAGATGGGGACCTCAATTGTAATGAAGTTCCTGAAGTGCTAAATAAAATGGCGAATGATAAAGCGACTGGGGAACCTATTCAGAGCATTAAGGCATTTAGCCTTGAAGATCTAGAGGCACTTACAGCAGAATTGAATTTTATATGAGTTGAGGAGACGTTGCCGGATGGATCGCGCAAAGCCAGAATTGTGCCAATTTTTAAAGGTGGCGATGAGAATAAAACAGAAAATTATAGAGGGGTCTCGCTACTGGACGCGGGAAGTTGACGAGAATAATAGCGGAGAGGATTAGTAAATGGATAGTCGAAGAGAAATCAGACAGGGTTTAGAAAAAAAAGGAACTAGGTATCATATATTTGTAATGAACTCTTAAATTAATGGAGGTTAATGTGAAAGAGACAGAAGTTATATAGAGCCTTCGTAGACTTTAGGGCAGCTAGTAGATAGAGAACTGTTGTTAAAGAAGCTAGGTGTTAGAGGGTAATGTATAATTTTATTAGGAATATATACAGTCTAACAAGTGTTGAAATACAAAATGGAGGAATAATCACTGATGAATTAAACATTAACACAGGCTTTAGGCAAGGCTATTCTCTCAGTGTAATTTTGTTCGACATTTTTATTGACGATTTAGACGATATGTGGCAACGAAAAGAAGAACTGGGCGGTTATAGGCAAGATTAAGGTAAGAGCACTAAAATATGGTGATGATCAGAATACTAGAAAGATATGCAGTAAGAAATAGATTAATAGTAAATACAAAAAGATAGAGATAGTAAACGAGTTTAACTATTTAAGTTACTATTTTTCTACAAGAAATGGAACGGAAAGACATATAAGTAGGCTAGTGGCTGAAGCGCAAAAGGCATCTAAATCAATTTGGGGACTTATGAAAAGGACAGGTAGGGACAAAAGGGATGAACGTATTTATTTGATGAACTAGTTAGTGAGAGCGATAGCCCATTATGGGGTGGAAGTTTGGGGATGGAGCAAAGTCGATAGTTTGGTAAAAGTAAACGGCAGGTATTGTAAAATGGCTTTGAGAGTTACTTGAAATTTAGATTTCTTAAAGAAATACTTCAAACGCCCAATAGATGGTCAAAAATTTTCCTAACGGAGGAAATGAGGGCCATATTAAACAAGCCTTCAATGTGGAGACAGGTGGCAATTAAAGTTCTTGAAGAAATTGAAATGATAAAAGTATGTAAGTTCATTTGGGAGGGAAGAGAAGCAAATTAAACTTACGTTATACTTAAAAACAGATGAGATAGGTAGTGGAATTTTCAATTAGATAAGGAATGGGATGCGATCGAAAAGTGTACATATAATAAATTCTATAGGGATTTGGCACCGGAAACCCACGGGGCGGAGTATTTAAACAGTAGGAGTAGGGGCAAAGACAGTAAAGAGGTGTGGGCCAGACTAAGGAGTGGGAATATTGGAACGGTGTATAAAAAGGGATAAATAAAGGATCTGTAGATTACGCGATGGGATGAATAAGACGTTAGAATATCTGATATATTGCTGCAAAGCCTAAATGCTAAATGAGAGTGAAGAGGTGAAAATGTTTTTGGCAGAGTGTAGAGGCGATTATAGAGAAAATGAGATAAGTGTACGGATAATAGATAAGTTAAATGGGGATATTAATAAGAATTCATGCCAGTTTATTAGAGTAAATGAAGATGATCTGTAGTAGGTTAGTACAATTACATGTGAGGAGTTTGTAAAAACTCGAATGGGTGTGCAAAGAAAAGTTGTGTATGTAGGGGAACGATTAAATTTTTAAAAGTAATAATTTTTGCATACGTCACTTTAGGCTATTGATTTAACTACCTTTATTAGGTGCAACGTAAAATTCTGCCCAAACAGGACAGTGTGTGGACGCTGCCCCTCCCCAATCCCATCCCTCAGGTATAGCTAGATGAGTTAATCCTTCTCTGACGACTCCCCATTCATCGTCGTAATACGCTGTTTGGGCTACATTATTGATTAAAATTGTATCCGTAAATCGCAAGTTTGATTTTAAATGCTGACAACTTGTATTTAAACTAAGTGGAATTACTGCCTTTAAAGTAGCAAGTTCTTTTATTATATTTCCTTCTGTAACAGAAAAAGGGATGTGTGTCATTTCTTATACATAACCATAAGCACAGCCGTCTCTACTTACAAGCCGTGCTGAAGGAAGGTGTACTTGGCAACACTGAGGGAATTCCAGGATTTTCCAGTTAGTAAGAGTTACAACTAATACATTGCTTGTTGTGTTTCTTTCGTTGTTCTATAATATTCTAATTTTAGCGGAAATATCGTGCAATAAGGATGCTTATAGTGTGTTTTAGTGATTAATACCTTTGAATACAATTTTTAATTGCAGAAGGTAATATTAACTATTAAGTGAAAGAAGTGAAAATGTTTTAGGTCAGATTGTGTGTTTTAGTCGTAAATTTTCTTGTTTATTTCTTAACAAAATGCCTCGTCGTTGTTGTGTTCCCAGTTGCAATTCAAATTATAAATCATCTTTAAAATGTAAGTATGTCTATATGTATTTTTATTCCCAAAAAAATGAAATGCGAAAAAAATGCATAAGTGCTATACCTCGAAAAGATAGGACTCCATGAAAATATTCTGCAGTTTACATACATCACTTTAACAAAAATGACATTATAAAAACAGTAAAAAAAGTATCCACTGCCGGTAATGTTTTGAATGTACTTTTAACGTATCGTAAATTACCACAGAATGATGAAACAGAAATTTAAATTGTTGAAAGTTCTCCCTTAAACTAAGTCAGTTTATTGAAATTTTAAATTCCGTTTATTTGAATGAATTGTGATTTAAATAACTCCTTAAAAATTTACATTTCAGGATATGCAGTTCATTCTGTTCGTAAAAAGATAACTTGCAACATTTGTGTTTCGCTCATAATAAACAATAAAGGCTCTTGCGTTAGAGATATTTATTTTGATTATTTACAAAGGGGAGGACTTTCTGTTTCTACTGATAATATTAGTATAGTTTTTTTTTCACATTTATGCCATTCTTGAAGAAAGAAGTAATATCGAAAATCTACAGACAGAATGTTTACGGGCTGAACATCAAAAATTAATTTTAGGAAAATTAACTGTTTTCAATAATATGTAGTTGTGGAAAACATTATAAAGATATACTCTTCCACATTTTATCTTCTTTTGCTAATGTTTTGTTTAATGATTACATTAAAATTATAAATTATAGAAAGCAACAGTCCCGCCACTTCAATTTAAATTCAGCTAACTGTAAGACAGCAAAAATCCGTAAATTAGAAAAGTTGAAATTGTAATTAATTTTTTCTAATGGGATGGCAGGGTTATTGGCGAACCTCAAAAAAAAAGGTAACGCGCCTTGGCAATATTTTAGTGGTGGTGTGGAATTTGGCCTTAATAAAATTACAATTATCGAGATGAAATTCATGTAGGTACCTATCAATGCTTACCTAATCTATTGTCTTTTCTATTTTATTCTTAATACCTACATGTTGAAGTGTATTTTAAATAACGTCACATACTATCAGTGATGAACAAATGTTTGAATTGAATAATTTAATTCATTTGTATCGTAATGGGTGTCTAAAAATTATGTGTAACGACGTGTAGTAATAACAAGTAAAACTCGCAGAATAGGACTCTCACATCGAAGCAAGGCGTTGTTGCCAAATTTCTCAGCATGGCTTGTATTAAAGACGGTTATGCCATAAGTAATAGCAATTTTAAATCTTTTCAACTAGGTAATAAACCTGTCTGTTCTGTTATTTTATTGACATCACCAACGACCAGAACAGGTCCTGTAAAATTTTGAAGCAGTTCTCTTAGACTCTTTTCGAATTCTTCAGCTGAGCTTGAAATGGAGCCCACATTTATTATCGTGAACGCAACGCCTTTAATGGAAAACGTTATAATTATGGATTGACATTCATCTATTATTTCGTGTGACAGAGAAGCGATATCAACTCCCCACTCTGAAATGTCATTACAACCAGGAAACACAATTAATTATTTCAAGATATGTGTACGTACCGTTACTTACTGAATCATAGATAAAGCCTAATCCAGTTTTTGTATCGCACATACAGTATTTCCAAGATCGGCTGTTATCCTTCATTATTTTTATGCAAGGTAGTGTAGGTCTATTTAATTCGTCGCATATTATTTTAAGGGCTAAAAGTTCTCGCACTCCTTGAATTGCTACTAGAGACCATCTAGAAACTAAGTGGTAGTAGGCACCGAAAGGAAATTTTTATTTATTTTTTTACTTATAATCTAAAATAGTGCAGCATATTACTTCAACTACCCCCAAATTTCTAGCCTTTTCTTGAGTTAAGTTGTCTAAATTCCATGAAGCGATTCGTATAGCTTGTTTTGAATGTCGTTCGTAATTAAATTCTTCAACGATTGGACGGTAGGAATATTTCGATAGCAAATCGTACACGTCATGTATAGGTGAAATGGATGACGTCGTTCTTAGTTGTGTATTTGACATCTTTTCTACTTATTAATAAAAATATTAAGACTTCAAATTTCTGAAATATATAATAATTTGTTAAGAGTTATTGACTTAAAAGTGACGTTTAATTTACTATATTGTGTAAGTGTGAATTAAGGGTTGTAGTATCTTTTTGTTCAAATGTTTTTTTAAATCGATAATCGTCTTGCTGTCATATCGCAGAAATCTCCTAGAATATAATATTCTGTAACTAGCTGAATGTCGAAACGTTTAAATACAAGATCAACTTGTGAGATGGGCCTTTACTTGATAACCGAGAGGTATCTAAAAATTTGCCAAAATGAAAATGGTATGCTATGTATATCCGACAGCGAGTAACACCGTGTAAATATAAACGGACTCAACTAGTCTAAATACAATAATGCTCTACCGTAGGTTTGTTTGTGTGTTTGCCAATATTTGAATCCGAAAAATAAATTATTAATTCCAGAATGTTTGATAATAGTAGATGAAAATAGTAATATTTTTACAATCGCTGTTAATTTAACCGATAAAGAATTAAATTTTTCGATCAATAAAGTTTGTTTAGAAAAAATACCAAGTCACACATTTCAGGCATATAAAACTAACGAAAGGTTCAAATTACTTAAACAAAATCTTCGTTTTGAACACCTAAATGATGAAGAACGGAATGAAGTCCTAAACCTTTGTTACGATTTTTCAGATATATTTTACCTAGAAGGAGACCACCTAACTTTCACGTCATTAGTTAAACACGAAATTAAAACTACACATGAAAACCCCATTAATACAAAAACATATCGTATTCGAAATTGGCACAAAAAAGAGGTAATCAAACATATTTCGGCTTATCCAGTTGGTGCTGTTTTCAGGTCCTATTTACAATAGTTAACCGATAGCTTACGTATGTCGAACCTTAACTCAGCGGAAACCTGCTTCGTCCATTGAATTAAATAATTCATTAATAGTGTTATTACAATTTACACAATCATGTACATTTGCAAAGGAAATGCATTCTTTAATCCCATCGAATTCAATTTCATACCAGAGTCAACATATCTCTCAATCCATTTCTGGACACTAATGGTTTAATCAGAATAGGCGATAGACTGAAAAATTTCAGTTTATCTTATGTCAAACATCAAATTGTTTTACCTAGCTATCATCCATTCACAAATCTTATAGTGGTACATGAACATCGTAAACATTTCCATGCAGGTATAGCACAAGCAACTTTGTGTACTATACGCGTTAATAATTGACCACTAAATGGACGAAGCTTGGTACGTGGCAACATTAGATGTTGCATACAATGTTTCAAATGGGTCAATTACCCGTTACCAGAACTGAACTTTGCAGGCTCTTTTCAATCGTGGGTATTTACTTTGCGGATCCTTTTAATATTAAAGACGGTAAATTTAGCAATCGGAGGATTTTCAAATGTTATCTTTGTATTTTTTCCCACCAAGGTAATCCATTTGGAGCTGGTGGGAGACTTCACCAGTGATTCCTTCTTAAATGCTTTGAAGAGATTGGTTTTAAGGAATGAATTATGCAAAAGAATTTAAACTTAAATAAATTTTATTGGTGCTAATAAAGAATTGACTCGTATATTGTCAAATGTCCAAAATAATTAAAAATTTTGTGAATTCATTAATCAAAATTCTATCACTGGAAGTTCATTTCACCCAGATCACCTCACTTGAGGGCATTTTCATTTAAAGAGAATACTATGCAATGCTACTTTGACTTTCGAAGAGTTTTACACGATCCTGACTCAAGTTGAGGCGGTCTTAAATTCTCGTCCCCTCACCCTGTTGTCCAATGACCCGAACGATCTCTTTCCCTTGACTCCTGGTCATTTCTTGATCGGCGGGCCACTTGTCTCTGTCTCGCAAGAAGATTTTTAAGATGTACCGATTAATCGTTTATCTAATTACCAGAGATTATAGCAGTTATTACATTTTTGGTGAAGTTGAGTAGTATATATATAGCGGTTCTGGATAAGAGTGGGGATGATTAATTTTGGTATTATTATCTCCTTTCTGCTCATGCGCGGGGCGTGGCTTGTGCATTTTTATTTCTGATTGGTTGTTTTTTGAGAGGGGGCGTGGCTTATGATATCTTTCGACCAATGAGCGTTCGTTCTTTTGGATAGGAGTGGGGGTATGACCGTATATGGTATTATTTTTCCGTTATGAGCATGCGGGAGGTGTGGTTTGTGTGTGTGTGTGTGTGTGTGTTCTTGTTTTCTGATTGGTAACAAAATTGTCGTCGTCGTCGTGGGGGGAAAATGACTGCTACGGCGGCGACGGCGGCCATAGCTGAGGCGTGAAATATGAATATGTGTGATAAGTGATAATGATTGTACTACTTGTTTTTTTTTCTTGGTGTTTCTCTTTTTAAATTAAATATTTTGGCAACTTATTTTACGCGCAGTAACGAAACATTTGCGATTCGCCGCCGACGACGATATCCTCCTCCTCGTCATCCACAAAAATTTTATCGTCGGGGTTGTTGTCAGAGTCCTCTATAGATCGCACTGCATTTAGTAGTTCATTTTCTTGTTGTTGTTGTTTTGCTTGTTTGTCCTTAAACTATAAATTTCTTCCATACTATTCAAACTTAAGAAATTGTACGCACCGAAAGAATTGAATGCTTGTATTACAGACACCTGATTCTTCCCTCTATTGTTTGTATGGCTGGTTGAGGCTTTCGCCTTAGACGATACCGCCAGTTTCCTAGTCTCAGTCGTTGTGGAGGTCATGGTAGGTTTCTTTTCCATTTTGATTTTGATATTAAAACGGCAACCTCTAGCAAATCAAATAATATTAAATGTTTACTAGATGTAAAGTTGAGTCGGATGTGATTTAAGCTTGAAATTTGAGTCTTTTATACTGATATAACCTGATAGACTTTTGGAACGAGAAACACACGTGCGCCTAAGGTGTCATTCATGAAGAAAACAAATGGTGATTATAATTTGTTTTTATAATTAACAACAAAGGTCGATAAGTAGATCCGTTTGACGTCAATAATTTTTTGTATAAAAAAGACTCATACCGGGTGTTAGATCGTTAAAGTACATAGTAGAAGTGCTACTGAACATAAGTATAATAATGGTTAAAGCGT